AAATATAATAGAAATAAATATGCTACAAGCATTAAACGTATTTCTGAAAATCAATAATACTGGAAAAAGGGGAGGAAGTAAGAGGTAATGAATTGAATTGTATTTTTTAAATAATTCAACTTTTTTTTGTCTTTCCATTTTTTTTTTAAATTATTCAATTGTTCGAATTTCAGTTCAATTAACAATGAATAAGAATGTAACGTAAAAAAATTCATTTTAATTTACTTATTTTGCTTTTGGATTAAAGGAATAAATTTTTTTCTTTCTTTTTGTTCAAATTTCACAGTTTGCTCATACGTTTTAATATCCGGTCATTCAAAAGTAACAATTTAAAAAAAATTATTATTTTTTCCAAGGGTTTTTAAGATTTAAAAAAAGAAAAACTTTTTGGTTAAACAATCAATTGGATCGGATGAGATTTCAAAAATTTCCGAAAAACTCGCATATGAAAAAAAGAGAGAGAATGGAGCGGATGTTTTAGTATACGAATGTTCAATATTTTAAAGTTTTTTCTTTTTCCATTCAAAATAAAAAGGGAATTCTTCATTCACTAATAACATAAGGTAAACATAGTTTTGAATCAAAAAGTTTGAATCTTTACTGAAAGCCAATATTTTTGTAAATTTGTTAATAATTTATATTTTGTTTTGTAAACTTGTTAATAAATTTACAAAAAATAAAGATATCACTCCTAAAAAAAGCAGACAACTTCGAGCGTACTTTTTTTAGCATATATAAAAAGCATTTTAGATACATGAACTTATTTTACTTCAATAATTTTTTATCATAATTATAAATGACATTTGATTGATTGGTTAAATTAGGATGAACAACATACTCGAATGAGATCTCTTGGATATCTCTTTAGCGATATCATAAAACTTAATTCGATTATGATTAAACAAATCAGACTTACATCAAGTACAATACAGAGTATGCAATTATTGACTTCAACTATGAAGCAGCAATTAGATTACACAGTTGGTCGATCTCTATTAGAAGAAAAGGAAAGAGGAAAGCAGTCAGTCTGCTAATTTTAGCACGCCAAATTTAGCTTCAATTCCTCGGCACTTTTTCAAATTATTTATTCCTGTCTATAATATTCAATAAACTGCAAAAGAAATGTTTTACATTTTTATGCTCATAAAAAAATTACAAGATAAAGTATATTGCGCAAAGACATAAGCACATATTCTGCATGGAAAAAGAAGTTGCCAAGACAACAAATTATTTGAAAAGCGTTAACATAATTGTTGAACAGCAACATGCCATTTGCTTTCTTGGAAAAAATGAAAAATATAAGAATAATGATGAGATCAAATGCAAATGCTCAATCATAAAGGTAATTAAAATAAGGCTAGCATAATCATTTTTATTAAAGAATAATCA